AACATATTCAAGCACCAAACGATGACTGGAAATGACACCTGTTTAGCAGCACTGACGCTGTGCTGTGTGTTCAGTCCACATGATGTCCACCTGAAGAAAAACACCCGATAGATATGACACGACCATGAGGTATTTCTCCATATTTACATGGCGAGCAGACACATGTGAACGCGCCGTTAAACTAAGCAGCCCGGAGAGGATTGTGGGATAGTGAGCGGGGACTGCAGAGGATACACCGGGTCACATTTCACAGCCGCATTTGGAGGAGCCTCTGGAATGGGACAGCCTCGTCGAGCTGTTGTGACGTATTCGGTCTCGAAATACGGACTTTGAAGCAGGCAACCCTGAATTGGGACACAGCTCGCGTTGTGCAATTGGTCTCCTGTGTAACAGCAAATGACCACACCTTCCTATTATATCTATTTGCACACCGAAACATAATGTCACATATTTAAATCTGTCTGTTTTTTTTATCTTATCTGACACTCTTGACAAAGGCTCCAGCTGGAAGCACTTTTAACCTTTACTATGCTCTCAGCCTGACCTTGCCTTGCCTCCATTTTTACATTTCTTTCACTGCACACAGAACAAAGGTGCACTGATCCAACACGCATCTGCGCTTTGTGCACATATCGGCAGCTGACTTCTTCCAAGGTTGGCACTACAACTGCTGAGTAATAACAGGAATAACTCTGCTACACAAAGCTCATACGTAACATTTGGCACTTGACGGGAGAAAGAGAATGGACGCTAACAACACTGGACTAGCGGTGACATTGGTACATGTACTGCAATCTTTGGTGACGGTGTGAAGACCAACGAAATCACAACCTAATGAGATTCATAACGTCTGAGGTGGAACCACATGAATTAAAAGGCAACTAATGTTTATTTTCATTACAGTTAAATCTGCTGAATAATATATAGTCCATCACAAGATGTTAGAGTCAAAACTAAGGTCTTCAAAGGTCTTGCTTAGTCCAGATCTTCCAAACTTAAAGATATTCAGTTTGGAAGAACATAATTTCATAAAGGAATATTTTCCATTTTGACTGAAACAGCCGTACCAATCACTCAGCTACTCTAATCGATTAAATGACTGTTTCAGCTCTCAAGGCGACCAAGATCCGTGTCGTCTACATCTGGAAACTGGATTCGAGAACCAACAAAGCTCAACTACAGCCCTGACAGACGTCTCCTACAAATCATATCGAGCCTGACGTGACCTTTCTTTGCAAGTGACAAAACAAATAACAAAGATCACCTCGGTACTGAGATAATATCAAGAGATCCAGCCGAGTCGGTTAGCCGTTACAGTGTGTAAATAACCAAAAAATTGAGGAACCAGTGTTCATGAACTATTGCCAGACTCAAGAAGCCACAGTTGGGAGAGAGAGGGGGTTTTGTTCTTGCGAATATCACTCTTCTCACATAGATTCGACAAACAACATCTTCTTATTCTTCCAATGACTAACATCCATCTATATTATTAATGTACATCCTTGGTTATTTAACGTCTGTTTCCTTTGACCTTCACAGCAAAACCAAATGATATTCAGTGTACCACCAGGGATCTAGAAGTTTAACTTAAGCCGATGGACAATAGCAATAACAAACCTGTCTGATAGAATGTCTGATAGTTTCATTTAAATGCTTTAGATTCAAAATACCACGAAAGTCCACATCGGAAACGTCCCTTTCACAAGAACGCCAACAGACCCCTCCTTGGTGGAGGCTGAAGCTGCCGAGGAGCATCGACCGCACTTTCAGTACGGGTGGTGGTCGAAAGATGGTCAAAAAACATCCACAAGTGAAGGTCTCGCTCAAAATGGGGCAACCTCGTTCCCCCCACCACCTCCGTAGTGATGCACTTCCTGCTCCTGGGCCTGACGGACTTGATGTTGGGGGGCACGCCAAGGCCCACGCCAGGTCACTGTCCAGTCACACCCAGTTCTAAACCTTAACCTCCCTTAATTCTTAATAATTTGTGTAAACAAACCGTTGAACTAACATTAAAATTAATACCGTGTGGCTATGTTAAAACTCGGGTGGTTACATTTAAAACAAACCTTTTTTTCTCCTGGTCTTAATTAATAAAAGACACAAAACTGTTAAAAAATGATCAATATTGACTGAAACTATACATTTTATCGTGATGCAGTTTTCCGCTATATCACCCAGCCCTACTTTAACAGTTAATCGATTGTCAGGATCCATCAGTTGACTGCAGCTCTACAATAAATCATTCACTGCATCTCAATTTTTAATGTGTTTATACAAACACACGGACATTTTTCCAAATGTCTATAAATAACATGACCCCGGGATGAGCCAAAAAGCACTTCATATCAATGCAGCTACATTAACGGCAAATCTCCTTTTAGCACCGTGCAACAGCTTCTACTCTAAGAATATTTTATCAATGGAAAGAAAACAAAATGTATGAATGTCTGCATAGCAAATCGCTAAGTGTTCATGCTGATGATGCACTTCTTGTTCTAAGCAAATATTCTAAAAAGCTGTAATCTAACTGACTTGCTCCACTAGAACAGTGAGGCTTGTCACAGTCAGACTTTAATCAACCAGGGAGAATTGTTCCCTATGATGAAAAATCAATGCGGGCTCCTACAGCGATCTTAAGTTTTCAATAGTACTTTGTGACGCCAACTGTTCCATCGATGCACAACTAAGGCCGATAAGATCTGTTTATCTCAAAAAAAAAAAAAAAAAAATCTCCTTGTCTTGTTGACTGTCTCCGTCTGGTCCTGACACCGTGTTTCATCTGCTCCTCAGTCTTTACACAGTGACTGCTGACTCAGATAAGATTATCAGCTATTGAACTCCTCCCGTATCTGACTGGCAGGGCACAAGCCCAACACCAAGTGATGTCATATACTGGTCACCTGTGCACCTTATCGCAATCTGATATAGTGGAGAAGGTGAGCAGGGCGGCTAAATTTCAACACTGCACAATACAAAATTGATGATGAAGTTTACCATAGGCCTGAGCTTTGATGACAAATCCCTGCAATATAGCATGGCAATTAAGAGCGGCTTATCATCTCAGATCGTACACGATTCCCAAACTTTAGCGGTAATAAAAAGAGATTGTGGAAATGCTCTGATCACTGCTCTCTTCACATGAAAAGTCAAGAGCCTCACTTTTGACATAAAAATCTTAGCAAACGTTTACTTTGTCATGCAGTGAGGAGATGAGTATTAGGAGCACTGTTTGCATTGCTGGTGGGGCGCCTGCTCATCAATTAGAAAAGTCAGAGAAGAACTATTCGCAGCCTGGTTGCACAAATGCTTCCCAACATTCCTATCACAATATTTGGAAAGATAAATAATCAAGATGACTGTTTGGTCTGATTACTGAAATGAGATGCAACGGGACATCGAGTGCACCGCAAACATTTTGTATCATCGAAGAAAACGGTCCGCAAAGTTCAAGAAGTAAGTGTTAGCAATCAGCACCTGCATCGTAGTCGCTCTCAAGACAAAAAAAAAAAAACTGTGCATCAACAATTAGATCATAGGAATTGAACGTGTGTTTTATTTGACACGAGTCTGTGAACTGTGGTCATGTAGGCCTGTACTGCTGTACATGTACAATAAAGTTAGACGTTAACAATCCAGCTCATGTTTATGGTCAGAAAAGGTAACTACAGTTTACACAACTGACTTGTGTCAATGAACCTGCAGTGACCTTTTACAGCCTGGAATACGTCCACAGTAAAGACAATTTAACAAACAAATAAACATCTGACTGCTGTACCATCAAACAACTGAGGAATGAAACACAAACCCTGAACTGTTTTAGTACTATTTGACCACATAACAAGCAAAACAATGAGACAAAGTTGACATTTAAACAACTATTAACACTCTATGTGTTGACTTTGAGTTGTAATATACTGTCACCACAGATAATTTCAGTTATTCTGACAGTTTTGTAGCACTACAGTCCCCACTGACCTTTACCAAAATCACGTTTAGTAATGCTATATATCGTTATATACTTGAATATATGAGTTACTGTGAAAGCCTGTAGGTAAGTAATAAGAAACAGAAAATCAGTACAACGTTGGGAGGAGCAGGGCTGGTGTCGCAGTGAAACATAATAAACACCTTAGCAGCTTATCAATATTATGTACTGTTCCCTATTTAGATTAAATTTCATGCCTTCTGTCTGACTTCAACAAACACACTACACATAAAAAGGGGGCCTTCAAGTTATAACAGCCCTGCAAGATCGATGCACACACATCAGAACATACAGTCCCTGCTGGCACCCCATGCATTTTTGTTTGACACATATTGATGAATAACTCTGCACATTATCATCGCTACAAAGCTAACGCTACTCACTGAAATCAATGGCACCTCCGGTAGTATGTTTTAAACATGTTATTTCGTTACAAATACCATTAGGCTGCCAAGCTAACGTCACATAGCTAACCATTGACACCCATATGACAAAGTCCGCTAAGCTGTCATTAGCTAGTTATAGCTAGTGTAGCTATAAGGTTACCATGCTAGATTAGCTCGCTTGGGAACAGACTAAACACTGGACGCCGAAATGTTGTTAGACTATTACCAGTACTTTAAATTTGCCTCATTCAGAATTGGGTTGCTAACGCTACCGCCAGCCAAGTTACTTTGAAACTTCAGATGATGGGTCAGCTTTTATTTTAGCAATGGCCTATTTGTACGCTAACATCATTGCACAACAGTTTCTCCTGCATGAACCAACCTACTGATTTTGGAAATCCATTTCTGTGTTAAATACCAATCCACTGACCACATGCTGAAGTGCCTTCCACTTAACACTGCTGCCTCTACGGAAAGGCCTACTTTGCTAGTGTGTTGATATGAGCTAGCGTTAGCTGGCATGCTAATGTTAACTTAACAGTTAGCTGTCGTTGGAGCCAACGCAGTTCTCAGGGTTGTCAAACTCTAGCTAATGACGTTAGCGCACATACTGGCATGCAACTTACGTTTTCCTGCTGTTGTGCGAATGTAGATCCAATCTTGATTATCTGCTAGATTCTGCTTTTGTGTGAAGATATGTCGTTAACCTAGCTATCTACGGAGCTAACGTTAGCTAGCTAGCTATGTTATGTTTCCTTATTTGACAAAAATAATCGAGATTGGCCTCAGATGAGCGGCGATAATTCCTTTCTCGGCGGTTCCCTGCTTGGACAGCGTTGATTTTTACGCATGTTTGACGCCAGTTCTGTCTCTCACAATAAATGAAGACAATTCCGATCGTTCCAAAACAAATATGGACACTGAGAATTGGTTATATTATACAACACTGACAAATCTAGCACTTTCTTCCATTGAAAGGCCAGAGCTATCCTTCGACTTTGGGTGCTGAACAAGAGGAGGTGTTATTTTTGGGATCTGCACGCTGATTGGTTAAAATGTCCAGGCAAGCTGCCGGTTAATTGGCTGTTTCGTCTGTCAATTAGCTCTGCCCCTGTCCAATGCTACATTCTGATTGGTCTATTACGAAGTTCTGTGATGCACTGGATCTGCAGGGTACACTCGTATGTTTTCCTGGCGTACGCCGAAGGTAGTCTGAATCGGCGGAGTTAGTCTTGAAATAGAAAGGTACACCACCAAGACTGAAGTCCGTTGACTTCATTCTAGTGAAATAGACTTAAAATATATGAAATTAACAAAACGAGGCACACGTGAGTGGAAACTATTTGATTATCTTCAGACTTTTTAAAGTTACCACACAGAACAACCCAAATGCCCCGGAGTGAATAACAAACACTACCTAACTCAAGAACAGCATGGATGATTGAAGAGGTTCCAGAGGGAGTCTCCAACAGAAGGCGGAATTGTCAGATTTTACTATAATCCTTCAGCAATTTTGCTATTTCAGGAATTTACACATAATAATTAGGCCTCATTAACTCCCTTTACCCCTGTGCTCTATGTTCTCAATCAAGCATTACAAAAACTTTATCAAATATATTATATTTCTTATTATTGTGATGATGCCTGGTGTTGAGAAAGTGAACAACACATGGTTTTCTTTCTTTCCTTTTTTTTGTTTCATAACGTAATCACATCCAGAGATCAACTCCTAAATAATGGGGGAACCTTGTTTTAGCTGCCCCCTTGTTTAGGCGTCATTTTATTTGATTGATTGTGTCATTTCTTCAATTGAATTCATGATACCCTTAAACCTATAAACCTTATGATTGTTAACTTTGGAGGATAATAGATCCCTAAAAATGTGCACTTTTACTCCGTTGCTCTGTGGCTAAATTACATGAAACTGACATGTTCAGAATCTCATCCTTGTCTCACATGTTCTCTTGGTGTCGTTGTATGTCTTTGTTGTTGTATGGCCCTTTTCCCCTTTTACTCCTTATCTGTTACTCCTTGTGTGGGACAAACCGACACTTGAACGTTGGCCCATGCATTATTGTACGACTCGATATTTTTTCTGCACACGTCAGACAAAACGAGGCGCTATCTCACCACTCATCACACCCATAGGACTGCCATAGGGGATGGTAATTATTACTCAAACTCTCTGTTCTGCTCACCACTCAGGGTTTCAAATGTTAACTGCCCTGCGCAGCACGTCGTTACAAGGAACCCCAATTAAAGAACGGAATCTAGTCAGGTTGTGAAGAGAAATCTCAAGCTTTATTAAGTTCACAGTATACACCTGCATTGAATACATCCTAACACTGTAGCCAAGGTTGTATGACCAACTGGGCACAGCAAGAAACTTCCCAGGGAGCTACCGAAGAACAGGTAGTATTTCAGCTTTAAAAAAAACTACATCCTGTGCAGAGAGTGGGAGGAATAAGGGCTTACCAGGAGGCCAATTACTCATTTGTGCCCTGGGGACAGGTAGAGGGTTAATATAATCTGCAGGAATTTGCAGCGACTATATTGGTAAATTCAACACACTTCAATACAGCAAGCTGGAGAGGAAACAGTAAGGAAGCATTCCATGAAAATGAAAGATCTCGAACTGGGTCAAGGAGCCGTAGTCGGTCTTGAAGTTCTCCACATGAGATGTTTATCGCATGTTGTACATGAGCTCTGCTTGGTGTCACGCTGAGACATACGTAGTAGTATGTTGGATTTTAGAGAAAAAAAATAGGTCCTTATTCTCAGTTAATCTATGAAACTGATTCTTCTTTGTTTTTACATGTTCCTTGTGAAGATATTCCTCCATTAGTGAGTCAGTAGTAGAGAGATGACAGGAAATAAGGAGAAAGAGAGACAGAAGGGAAAGTAAATCCGACAACAAAGGTCGAGGGTCAGACTCAGTTCAATTCAATTCAATTCAATTCAATTCAATTCAAAGGGCTTTATTGTAATTTCAGCCACATACAGCTGTACAGTACACAGTGAAATGAGACAGCGTTTCCCAGATCCAGAGCTAAAGAGAGCTGCAGTGTTAAGCCAGAGACACTGCAGTTCATGGTCAGTCCCTAAAAGTAATCAGGGCACCCCTGCTATTCCTAAAGACTCTGTTTAATTTAAATAAAGAGCTTTTAAGATAATCTAACAGCTTCTTAAGGCTGCCATTTAATGCCTGAATAGAGCTGTGAAGTGGGAGGAGTCTTTTCATTAGTCCCATTTGCGTTCAGAGCAGAACACGAGGCGTGGCACTGGAACACAGACTGTGGATACTCCCACCGTTTGATTTTCCATCCAATAGATTTGAAATCCTTTTCAAGCAATTATCCAATGACGGCTGAGCACCTGGCTTAGGTGGAGTATATGTGTTGGCCTCACCTCTTGCTTGGACTCTGAGGACACAGAAGTGTGTGAACATTAGTGTTTTGTCACAATAAAAGGCTGTGAACTCGGCACTATGATCCAGCTCGCGTTCCTTGTCTGGAAATTTGCTGCCCTGCTGAAAAGCACCTGTTTTGGCTGTATGCTGTAATATAAATAGAGAACTCTGTAGAAAATAAAAGCTGAATGGGAGCACTTACTGAGCAGTTACTGAATTTAAAAAACAGCTATTTGATGAAAAAATGAAGGTAAAAGTAAAATAAGGTTAGACTCTACCTCCTCAGGTGCATTTTGACCAAAAACATCCAATTACTGAGTTTGAACTTCTGTTCCATGGTCTTCAGAAAACAGATTTTATAGTCTGCGTCTTTAATGAATAACATTTTGGAGCCTTTAATTTCAGCTTAATTATTAACGGTGTCATTTTGTTTACAGCTTCAGTAATGAAGAGCTCCCACTATGTTCATGCTTCTGACTTCCTCGTCATAGCAACGGTGGCCGAGGCTCATGGATGTTGTAGTACTGTAAGCCATCCACTATGCAAAACAAACAAACAAACAAACAAACAAACAAACAAACAAACAAACAAACATGGCAGCTCAGAAATAAAGGTGAAATAGGCAAAACTGAATCACAACAAACATCAGCAATATATTATTAATACAGCACATTTAAATGCTTTCCAGAAGAGAAATAAGATCGGTGCTGCAATTTATCCAACAAGTGTAATTTTCAGAGTTTAAACATACAATATTATGTAAAAGTCAGCTTTACCTGACTCAGTGAAATATATACTGAGGTTTGGATTTTTTTTTAAACATTGAATTCAAAAAAAGTAAAGTTAGGAGTCCATTTACAGTCGTCAACATTTTTTTTTCTTTTTACATTAATGTAAATTAATTATTTTTGTGGTTTTATTAGCTATTATTAGTAATTATTTTATATATTATTTATTTTACAAGCTATTTTTTCATATTTCTTTCTTTCAAATAATGGCAAACATCAATAAAATAACAGTATTTGTTGACAGTTTAAATACAGTAACACAACATAAGTTTATTGTAAAAGAAGGAGTCAGCGTTTGTAAAATTACAAATGTTTGATGAGGACATTATTTACAGTTTTAACCTTTGTCTTAACTGTTAATAAGGAATACATTGTTCTGTGATTTTACCAGATATTATCTATAATTTAAAAAAGAAAAAAGAACTGTCTGTCTTATACAGCAGAACAGATCAGACCTATGAAGCTGCAGAATCAGAAACACCTGCAGAGGACGGCTGAGTTTGTAAAGTTCCAAATGAGAGTTCAAAGTTGGGAAAACATTTCTGGAATTTAGCAGCTTGTCACATTTTTGCACATCTTTTGGTGGAAGACTTCTCTCTCAGCGTTTTCTTTTTGCAGCACCCAGCAGCCGACTACAACACCATGCAAACTTCACCAAACACCAGGACGAGGCTTCCACAGACTTCTGACTTCAGGAATGCTTCAGTGAAAGTGTTGCAGTCCCCTTTGCAAAGCATAAACCACGACCTGTAGTGCTTTGATTGTGGGTTTTGGAAAGTTACTCTCTTTAACTGTCAGATGCTGCCCCTCCAGCCATCAGGGGATTTGTGAAGCATGCAGTCAGGGGTACAAATAAAGATAATATAGTTCATTTATTTGAACGACCGACATGTGCAAGGACATAAAAATGTAGGCTGTGGTGAATAAAACTGGGCTGGGGGAGATTAAGGCATAATATAAGTGCATGTATAAAGATGTTTCGTTATCAGTGTATCAGTGGATCTGTGTGTGTGTGTGTGTGTGTGTGTGTGTGTGCGATGGCGGGACGGGGAAAAGCGGGGCTTATCCGTTGTCATTTTGTGTTTCTCCCTCGGGATTAGACTTGTGTCTTATTAATGAAAAACTCATCAGATATCAGAACAGCTCCCTGAGGAACCAACCAGGGTTATGAGACACATGTCAGATTAGGATTGTGTGTGTGCGCATGTGTGTGTGTGTGTGTGTGCGTGTGAGTGTGTGTGTGGCAGAAGGATGGAGAGAGTGTGAGCGAGCGGAGGAGAGAGACGGCAGAGTGGTATTTAATTTTCCAAGATGAGGGATTATCACTGGCAGAATTTGATCATTCTGCTCTGATCTCAGGATGTTCAATCGCAGCTTATCCCAAATATTAAACTCTCTGTCTTTTGTCCCCCTTTGCCCCCCCTTCAATCCCCAACACACAAACAAACACACACACACACACACACACACACACATGGAACCATATTTCCACACACACACAGATGCTTGCGCCACTCCAACTGCCGGGCTTCTCATTGAATAAAGTGGCCCGCTGAGCCTACTGTCCGGCTGGTGTGTGTTGTGTGATTGTTCAGCCACCTGGTGACCTCAGGGGATGGGTGAGTTTGAGGAGGAGGAGGAGGAGGATGGTGAGGGGGGAGGCAGGGAGGGAGGAGGTTATGTTGGGGTCGAAGCTTTAAGTGTCTTACGGAGGCAGCTGAGGAGAGTAAATTAAAAAACTGTTACATCTAATCCGGAGCGCCAAGAACAAGTGGCACACACTCCA